ATAAAATGAGACTCTGCTGCCCTTTTCTGACTCCAGCTCTTCTTCAGAAATGAGGGGAAGCATTCTCTTCACAGACCACCTCCCCCTGAGCTTGTCAGGATGCACAGTTGTTTGTGCTCAGTCTTCCATCCCGAGGGTTCCTACACACCAAAGGTACTTTGTTCTTTCCAGAGCCAGAATGCCCCAAGCATTGCAGTATCTCTCAGAACCAAGGCTGTGGCTTGTTTTTGTCAATGTCCCCATTTCCTCACCCCTCACTCTTGCCCATATTTAATGGCATAACAATATGGCCTCCAGGCTGAGAGACCCTTTCCAGGCTCCACTCCATCACTAGTCTGGCAACTCCTCTGGAAAGATATCTACTCTTGCATCCCATGGACACTTACCAAGATGATAGACAGCTGAGGATCTGTGGGTATCTTGGGAGGTGAGTGGATGGAAGTGCCCTGTCCCTCAGCCCTTTTATTCTGATCCAGATCTCTGTATCAGCCTGTCAGACAGTGACTGCAATTAGGAGGCTCTGCCTCCTGACACCTACATGGCCATGTGACTGGTGATGACCAGATGTTCCTCACCAGCCTTCCTCCATGAGACCCAAGCATGCTGCATCTATCTTAGGTCATGACTTAGGCACGAATGGAGGAAGTGAGTTCCTGAACCATTAAACCCAGTGTATCTGCATTGTATCTATCTTAGGTAAGGTGATTCTACATCTTTTTTTTTCTGTCCCTTTTTAAAGTCATATGTGCAACTCATAGCCCATAAAAGCCAGAAAAACCTTGAAGTTTCTTCCATATCAGCTTCCATCTCTACACTTTCCCAACTGTGCCTATGTAAGTCCAGTCTAAACATCTACATCTACCTTCATGATAGATTCGTAAGAGCATCAACATATGTTGAGCTATGGTTCTGAAAGCCTGTTTGGGCTGTGCCATTTTCCATTTAACTAAGACAGTCAGTAATAAGGAGAATATAAGACTGTTATTAAAATAAAGGAAGTATTAAATGATCACATCGACTTGTCACATAAGACACAGGTGCAAACTGGTAAATACAGACTGAGGATAATGCTCTATAGACATGGCCATTGAGAGATGACTCATCAGCAAAGGACACTGCTCTTACAGAGGATCTGAGCTTGGTTCCTAGCATGTAAGTTGGACAGCTCACAACCACCAGCATCAGGGCATCTAACACCCTCTTCTTACCTACAAAAGTACAACTCATGTACACATACTCACACAGAGGCACACACAATATTTAAAATAAAAAATAGCATCTTTAAAATAGCAACTCAATGAAGATGGATAGCTTCTATAAATAATATTTATAAGAACAACAAACTAAGGAATACCAATATTTGGTAAAATTTTTATATGTTAATAATATAATAGTGATTGTGTTCAGAGAGTGGACATCTTTATTTTATGTGGTTTTTTTTTTACATTTTTCTCAGTAAATATTTGGCCTCCTCTACTTGATTAATTTATATGTACATTTATGAATGTATTCCTTGTGTTTACTATTTCAATATTGCTGGATGGTTCATGGAAGCCAGCAAATTTCTTTCATAAACACTGTAGGCTATAACTGGTGAGGGAAGAAGGCACATTAGAAAGAAGAAAATCCATAAAATAGAGGAATGATGTAGTTCACCTGGAAGAAACAGAGGAATAGAGTCAGTCTACACTGCATGTGAGACAAAGAGCTAATGATCCATTTCCCTGACTGAAGGAAGGCAGGTTATTTTAAAAAGAATCACTTATTAATACTTCATAAGAATGTGTTTCTGTGATCATTAACCTCTGTTCATTCTGGGTGCCTCTGATTTTCATTTATATTTTCCATGTCCATAGGCTATATACAAACACTCTATTTTGAACGTTTTTCTTTTCAAGATTTAGTAGAAATAGTTGTGATTCATCATAGAAGGAAGGTCTCACCAACTCTGAGGAGTGGATGGGAGATGGGATGGGGTGGTCGGTTGGGGGTGGCAGGGCAGGTTTAGGGGAGAGGGAACTGTGTAGAATAAGATTGTTTCTAATTTAAATAAAATTTATAAAAAACAAACAAAAAAGGATAAATTTTTAAAGATCATGATTTAAGATTACCCTAAATCTAACAAAAAATGTCAGTGAGAAGAGGCAATGAAATACACAAGCTAAACTGGCAATATCTCTTCTCCCAAATGCTGGTGGACTCTGTCATTTCCAAATCTTAGGAATAACATGAGCTTGGGATACAGGTTCTTGGTGAACACCAAGAAAATATCATAGAGAACCTTCGGTATTTAAAATGTATAGAGAGTCTTCATATAGAGAGATGCATTCCTCCCAGTCTACTGTCATTCATTTCCATCGATCATGTGTTTCCAAGTCTTTTAAAATACATCTAATATTTACATATACTCAAAGATCTAATTTAAAGTATGGCCCCTGATGCCCCTCAGTCTTTCATTGACTATGTTGCAGTACTAGACCCATAGAAAACCTGAATATTCCCAATGATAACTACACAAAGTCATTAACAAAGACTTGTTCAAGACTGTATACCACTCAACAGAAGTAGAAACTCTCTGACATACAGCCTTTCGTGCTACTTTACATGAAGCTTTTCCTACCTGCTCTCAAATTTGTTCTTAGGGGAATGATTCATTTTCTGTTCTTTTTATGATTTCCCCTAAATTATATGTTACAAATTTTAGCTATAACGCAGCTTATGTCCACGTTATTTTTCTTTTAATCCATGATATTTAATGTAGCTATGATAAATTCTTAACAAACTTTTTTCGTTGAACAAATTCCTCCTGTGGCAATTTGGTGATGTCTAATTCTCTCACATCTTCCTTGGTGTGTAAGCTTAGAAATAGATACTCCTAAAGACTTGGGTCAACCCAATGGAATCTGAACTCTGAGGCTGAGCGAGGTTTGTAGGTCCACATGACCTTGAGAAATCTTTCACTGTTGATTTTAGTCTCCTCCTCAGTTGTTCCAAAAGGCTTAGTAACTGGGAGTGGTCAAAGCATGATCCCTGATTTCCACAATGGTAGTTACACATGCTCATCTAGGATGATGTGGCTGAAATGCCAGCTAGTCCATACTTCTGCCTTTATGCACAGCAATTCCATGCCCAAGGCTTACCTCCTGTTCACATGTGTGTATGAGTATCATGCTATCTGGAAGACTGGAAACATCCTAGAATTGAGCTCTGGAGACTTATGTCTCAAGACAAAAACAGTTGACATTCTGAAGGTTTCAGTTGTCAGATATTTATCTTATATAAGGCCATTTTCAGAATCCTTGAATATAAGAGATCAAGGAAAACTCTAATCAGAAGTAATTTTGAATAGTGTTCTTTTTTTTCTGTATCAAGGGAAATAAATGTTTTTTTGAGATGTTTGCTCTTATCTATGTGTTTTATAATTACACACAATGTATCAATACTCTCAAAGTATAAAATCTATGAATCACTTAAATATTTATTTTTTTAATTTTTTATTATTTCAAATTCAGAACAAGCTTGCTTCACATGTCAATACCTTCTCCCTCCCCTTCCACCCAACTATCCATCAGCCCCGCACCTCCCCCCACCCCATCCTCCCTCCACTCCCCAGGCAGTCTAGGGCCCTAGACCAGGGCTCCCCTAAGACCACCACATTATCCTGGGGAGGGCCTAAGCTCTCCCCCATGTGTCCAGGCCAAGAGTGCATCCCTTCACATGGGATGGGCTCTCAAAGTCCCAGCTTATACCAGGGAAAAATACTAATCCATTACCAGGGGTCCCCTAGAGTTCAGAGGCCTCCTCATGGACATCCATGATCAGGGGTCTGATTCAGTCCTGTAGTGGCCTCCCAGACAGCAGTCTGGGGCCCATGTGCTCCCCCTTGTTCAGGCCAGCTGTTTGTGTGGGTTGCACCAGCCTGGTACCGACCCCTTTGATCTTCATTCCTCCCTCTCTGAAATTAGGTTCCAGAGTTTAGTTCAGTGTGTATCTGTGGGTGTCTGCCACTTCTTCCATCACCCACAGCATGAGGGCTCTAGGATAACATAAAAAGTAGTCATCAGTCTCACTATAGGGTAGGGAGAATCAGGGTATCCTTTCCACCATTGCCTAGATCGTCAGTTCATGTCATCCTTGTAGATCTCTGGAAATTATTCTAGTGACAGATCTCTCCTCGGACCTAAAATGGCTCCGTCTGATATGGTATCTCTCATCCTGCTCTCCTCTATTCTTCCCCCAACTCAACATTCTGCTCCTCCATTTCCTCTTCTTCCCTCCTCTTCTCCTCCTCTCATTCTGGCAGTTCCCTGTCCCCTTCCTGAGCTCCCAATTAGCCCAGGAGATCCTTCCCCTTCCAATTCTCTGGTGTCCATGTGTTTTTCTCTTAGAGTCTTTCTTGTTTCCTTGTTTTTTTTAGTGAAGAGGATTTCAGGCTGGTAATCCTTTGCTCTATGTCTAAAATCCATATATGAGTGAATACATACCATGTTTGTCTTTTTGTGACTGGGTTACCTCACTCAGGATGGTTTTATCTAGTTCCATCCATTTGCCTGTGAATTTCAAGATTCCATTGTTTTTCTGCTGTGTAGTACTCCATTGTATAGATGTACCACATTTTCTCTATCCATTCTTCAGTTGAGGGGCATCTAGGATGTTTCCAGGTTATGGCTATTACAAACAATGCTGCTATGAACATGGTTGAACATATGTCCTTGTTGTATGAACATGCATTATTTGGGTATATGCCCAATAGAGGAATTGCTGGATCTTGAGATAGACTGATTCCCATTTTTCTGAGCAACTGCCATACTGATTTCCAAAGTAGTCACAGAATGGGAAAGGATCTTCACCAACCCCACATCTGACAGAGGGCTGATTTCCAAAATGTACAAGGAACTCAAGAAGCTAGTCCCCAAAACACCAAGAAATAAAATTAAAAAGTGGAGTGCAAAACTAGAGATTCCTCAACAGAGGATTCTGAAATGTCTGAAAGACACTTAAGAAAGTGCTCAAAACCCTTGGCCATCAGAGAAATTCAACTCAAAACAACTCTGAGATAACGTCTTACACCTGCCAGAATGGCTAAAATCAAAAACACCAATGACAATCTATGTTGGAGAGGATGTGGAGAAAAAGAACACTTAATTTTAATTAACTTCATCTAAGTAATACTATTTGATTGTTGTTAGTGTTATAATGTTTTTTGCTAGTGTTGACATGTAATTAAAGTCTTATTAGCAGCAATTATTTTATTTTTATTAAATTTACTTTTTAAAATTTCATTTCATATTCCAAGTATTATTCTCCCTCCCACTCAATATCCTGTTCCCCTACCTCTTCTGTGGGCTGCCCCTTTGTCTTACTGACTGTGTCCTTTGCCTTACAGAAGCTTCTCAGTTTCAGGAGGTCCCATTTATTAATTGCAGATCTCAATGTCTGTGCTACTGGTATAATGTTCAGGAAGCAATCTCATGTGCCAATTTGTTCATGGGTGTCTCCTATTTTCACTTCTAGAAGATTCAGTGTGGCTGGATTTATGTTGAGATCTTTGATCCATTTGGATTTAAGGTTCATGCATGGTGACAGATATGGATCTATCTGCAGTCTTCTGCATTTCTGAATCCAGTTGTACCAGCACCATTTGTTGAAGATGCTATCTTTTTTCCATTGTATAGATTTAGCACCTTTGTTCAGGTGTTTGTAGGTGTGTGGGTTAATATCAGGGAAAACACAGTTCAATGAAACCATTGTTTAGTTCTACTGCAGTGACTTGATTTAAAAAAAAAAAAAAACTAAACAGAAATATGGATCAGGCGCACACAGGGAATGCCAAATAAACCACTCATGAATACTGATCTCATCAAGATTGCAGCAGCCACCAACAGAAGAGAAGGAATGAGACATTGCCATTGGTCAGCTGCACAGAAGTTCCCACATTATAACAACTCGCCTACAGCAGAAAAAGAAAGTGATAGGAACAATGTAAATTTCTGCAGGTCTAGGTCAAACTTTGTTTACAAAAGAGCAATAAAAACATTAATGTGAAGAGAAAGGGCTGGCTGATTGTCATCATTTAATCTGAGTATAGATCTTTTTCCTTCTAATGAATGTCTAAGAGTGAACATTCACTTTCAACTCATTGACAATGGGTTTGCACCCTACCTCTCATTTTATAATTGTGAGGATTGACAGCCATTTCTAAGCCCTCACTTCAGGTTACTATTTAAAAAGTCATCGTACTTCCTACACATACAGTAGAAGAGTTGATACAAAGTCACAGGAAGCACATACATGTCTAAAAGGGAACAATAGCTCAGAGCATCACTGTCTATCTGCAGGAAAAGATGACTAAGGGATGGGGTAAGGATAATGCTGAGAAAATGAACAAGAGTCTTGTCAGGATTGGTTGGCAAGGCTTTTTATTTGTGACAAACAGGCAAAGGGACACTGTCATCTAGTAAGTGGAATGCAGAATCTTTCACAGGAGATGTCAGCATCTGAGTGGGCAGGGCAAGGAGGAGAGCCAGGGTAGAGAGGGCAGATGCATGGGGCAGTCTGCTGAGCATGGCTTCCTCCTGCAACAGTTGTCTGAAGTCTTCCTCACCCTGGTTAGCAACAGCCACCAGACTGTTGGCTACTGCCACAGCTGCTGCCACCACTGCTGCCACAACAGCCACTGCTGCCACAGCTGCTGCCACCACTGCTGCCACCGCAGCCACTGCTGCCACCACTGCTACAGCATCCAGAGCTGTGACGATGGCGACGAAGAGATCTGCGAGGCCTGTGGTGGCTCAGGCAGCAGCCACCACCCCCAGAGCTGCAGCAGCCTCCGGAGCTGGAACCACAGCAGCCCCCAGAGCTGGAACCACAACCACCAGACCCTAAGCTGCAGCAGGATGACACAGGGGGGCACTTAGGAGGACACTTAGGGGGGCACTTTGGAGGACACTTTGGTGTCTGGCACTTGGGAGGACACTTTGGTGTCTGGCACTTAGGAGGGCACTTGGGAGGGGGCTGGCACTGCTGCTGGCTCTGCTGGCAGGAGCCACAGCAGCCACCAGACCCCAGGCTGCAGCACGATGACACAGGGGGGCACTTAGGAGGACACTTTGGGGGGCACTTTGGAGGACACTTTGGTGTCTGGCATTTGGGAGGGCACTTTGGTGTCTGGCACTTGGGAGGGCACTTGGGAGGTGGCTGGCACTGCTGCTGGCTCTGCTGGCAGGACATCCTGGCCTATGGGTGTTTGGAAGCTTCAAGAGAATCACACACATGTCAGACACCTGATATTTCAGCCACCTGATCATTCTACCTCTCTCCCACTCCAAAGTTTCACTGATAAGTATTGTAACACCACCATCTACCGTCCATTCATTTCTAACACTCTCATGCTGTCACAATGTATTCATCATGAGTTTTGGAACTCAGAAATTCATGAAGTGAAATACTAATTATCAAGTCGTATCCAACAGTTCCTAATGTATAACTATTTGATAGTATATATGGATTATTTCAGAGAAAATGGATTGTAAAAAGACAGCAATCATTACTTGATGGAATAATCCTAGCCCCAGAAAGAAAAATATGTAAGTTCTCTCAAGGTAGCATTGGAGCACTAGTCCCTATTGTGAGGCCAACATTCAGAGGAATCCAAATCACCACCTGTTCAGGATAAGGGTGGCAAGGTCATTGTCCTACTGGTGGTGTCCTGTCTATCAGAGAAGTGTGTAGATAGACCCAGAACCAGGGCTCTATTTTTGTCCCACATAATGTGAGACTCCACTGCCCTTCACGGACTCCAGCTGTTCTACTGAAGCAAGAGGTAGCATTCTCTTCACAGGCCACCTCCCCCTGAGCCTGTCAGGATGCTCAGGGGTCCTACACACTGAAGGTACTTTGTTCTCTCCAGAGCCAGAATGCCCCAAGCATTGCAGCGTCTCTCAGAACCAATGCTGTGGCTTGTCTCTGTCGATGTCCTCATTGCCTCACTCCTCACTCTTCACCATATTTAATGGCCTAACAATATGGCCTCTAGGCTAAAAGACCCTTCTCAGGCTCCTATCCAGCTCTAGTCTGGCAATCCCTCTGGAAAAATACATGCTCTTGCCTCCCATGGACACTTACCAAGATAATAGACAGCTGAGGATCTGTGGGTATCTCAGGAGGTGAGTGGATGGAAGTGCCCTGTCCCTTAGCCCTTTTATTCTGATCCGGGTCTCGGTATCAGCCTGTCAGACAGTGACTTCACATGGGAGGCTCTGCCTCCTGACACCTACATGGTCATGTGACAGGTGATGACCAGATTTCCTCACCAGCCTTCCTCCATGAGGCTCAGGCATGTTGCATCTATCTTAGGACATGGCTTAGGTATGAAGGGAGGAAGTGGATTCCCAAATCCTTAAATCTGGCATACCCACAAAGTACCTTCCTTAGGAAGCAGTCATTTCTCCCTCTATGTCTTCTGGTTCTTAATGTGATATTTGCAACTTGTAGCCTAAGTAGAGCTCACACAAACTTCAAGTTTCTTGCATATCTGTTCCATCCATGTCCTTTCCCAGCCGTTCCCATCAGGTTGCAGCTTAGACCAAATATCAATAAAACCCTCCATGATATATTTGGTTGAGCAGCAAGATATGTTAAGGTGTGGTTCTAAAAAACTATCTGCCTCATTTCCCACTTCAACTATTACCTTATTACCGTGGAATTTTAATGAGGATATTTATGTGTATATCATGAAAATTAACAAAATTTTCAAACAGTTTAAAAGTAGCTCACAGAAAAAGAGTATCATGTTATACAGTCTACAACAGACATATGTCCAAACTGCTAGACATATGGTCAGGATACTTCTCTTAAAAGACAGCAATTGACAGATGGCTCATCAGTGAAGAACACAAACTGCACTTAGAGTATCTGAGCTTGATCACTAGTGCCTACAATTAAAGAGGTCTCAACACCTGTAATTCAAACTTCCAAACATCTACACCCTCTTACTTCCAAAGTTACAGGCAGTCAAGTGCATATACCCACACAGAGACATGCACATAAATATATAATTGAAAATGTAGATAAAATAAATACAAATAATTGAAGGAAGGTGGAAATGTTTAGTATATATTGTTTGTATGAAAATAATAGGAAACCTATTATTTTGTATCATTAATGTATACTTATAATAAAACAGTGCACCACTGCCTTCCAGAGTGTAGATCTTCCTAATTTTGTTGTTTGATTCTTTAAATATATCTTCGTATATATTTCCATGTGGGATGCTTCATGTTTTCATATGCATCCTTGCTTCCTGCTATACTAATATTGTCTTCACTGCTTCAGTATTTCTAGATATTCTGTAGAAGCTGGATTGCCTCTCTTATAGAAAGTGCAATTATTTATGGTGACATTGCAGTTGGGGAGTAAGTAAGAAGAGAATCAGGAAAGGGATTCATAGGAAATGCAAAGAATGGTGTTCATAGATGAGAAATAGAGGGAAAACATATGCTGTGATATACTGTCCATCTATTCCTACGTGTGAAAAAAAATAGCTAATTGAGCCCTATCTTCACCTATAGGGCAACAAGTATTTTAAAAGAAACAGTCATTGTGATAGTTTGTAGTGTGGTTTCTTATGATTTTTTTTTAGGCAACCATACTGGTATTTTGCCCTGCTCACCCATTCTGTACTCTCTTGCTCCATTTTTCCTAATTTGAGCTCACTCTTTTTCCATTTGTCAGGTCACTTGTATCCTGTCATTTCCTTCTCTGTTACTCCTCCACACCAGGACCCTGGCAATAATCTCTTTTGCTTTCCTGATTTCTGAAGTTACTCCAGGATATATACGCATATCTGAAGATTTAGAGCCAGGAGCCTGAGATGAGAGAACATGTGTCATTTGCTTCTTTGGGTCTGGGTTACTACACTCTATATGATCTTTCCTATTTTCATCCATTTACTTGCAAAGTTCGTTTCATTTTTCCTTACAGTTTAATATAATCCTACAATGTGTATATGTAGCATGTTTTTATTATCCATTTGTCCATTGATGGGCATTTTAGTTGTTTCTAGTCCCTACCTTTTTTGAACAGAGCAGCAATGAACATGACTGAGCAAGTGTCTTAGTAGAGTAGGATGTGGAAGAGAAGCCTTCTTTTGAGTTGTTGATCAGAATTGTCCAAGAGACTCCCAAAAAAATTCCAGGATATGGATGTTACCCCTGGTTGTGTCCCAGAAGTAGAAATTAATACCTTTTGATGAAGACACCATGCACTTCAGACATGGTCCTGAGGACCATGAGCTAGAAATTTCAGGCAAAGGTGCTAGGCAAGCTTCCACAAGAGGAAAGTCACTAACAGTCTTGTCCAACTATGATGCCTATGAAACACAACAGCAACCAGCATGGCATGATAACCGTAAGGATGCAGTACTGGAACACATATCTTGGTAGTACCCAACAATTCTTTAATTTGACTTAAGACCTGATAGACAAAGGGGGAATCATACCTGGTACTGGAAACCTAGTGAACTGCCCTGACTACTGAGGCCATGGCCATGGAGGAGGAGATTCTATATCTAACACATTATCAAACCAGAACAACCCCTAACTGCATTCTAAACATTTACCTTTATAGCCACAGATAAATGTAGTGCCCACTCCTCATCATAGGAACTTCTCTCTGTAACACATGGAAACCATTCCAGAAAACCACAACTAATCAAAATGCACAGTTGTAGAGCACAGATCCAACTGATAAGTCCACAATACTACTTCCACCACTTAAGATCTGGAGATCATTGTGCAAGAGAGGACAGGAAGATTTAGGATCCAGAGGAACAGGGAGTTTGTTGTGCCGTTATGTCTCCTAAGGCTGCCAGAAGTTACACTCAAAAGTTATCACCAACATGACTGTTTAAACATGGGCAAACAACTTTAGATATTCTGACATGGTTGTGAGAGCTGTTGAGGTCTCAATGCTGCACAAAGAACTACAGACAACAAAGGAATGCTGTGAATGGAAGAAATAGTCTTTCTCAGGGAAGAACACATGAACTGGTTATCTAATAACAAATGATCAGGCCTTAAAACATATATACAATTAACATTATACAGACTACACTGGGCAGATTGAATTTAAGAACACACACACATATGTGTGTGTATGTATATGTATGATGTGTATGTATAATGTATATGTGTATGGGTATATGTATATGTAAATATAACAACAATTATTGAAAAAGAAAGCCATAGAATTGAATGAGAGTTACATAGGGTTACATAGGAGAGTTTGGAGGGTGGAAAAGGAAGAGAGAAATGGTATAATTATATTATAATCTTAAAATAAAGAAACAATACAAAAGAATCAGTACTTGGTTATTCAGAAGAATCTGGCTGTGTTGTTAGCAGGCCTCTGTGTTCTTTCTGTGTCTCCCTGGTTTTTATTGGTTTTCTTCATGTGCACTGGCTGTACATGAAGCTACTTTTTTGAGCTTAAACTTTTTAAAAATATTAATGGAATTAGTTGGATTAGTTATACAATGGCATGGTTGTAGAATCATACTTTAACATTACTTGAAAAGTAAAAAGAAAATATATCAGTGAGGTGTAGACAAAGGAAATTCAGTTTGAACTTGGTGATTGGCAAAGCCTCTTTTCTATGAATGCTGCTTGACTCTGGATTTGCCAAAATCTTGGGGGAAAAAATAAAGCTGGGCCACTTGAAAAGGATGAGCCCAAATGAAATGTGGTATAGATACATGGCTATTTATAAACATGTGTGGAGTGTCTATTTACAGAGATGCATACCTCTCTATCTTCTATCATCTATCTACCTGCCACCTTCCTTTATCTAACTGCATCTACTCTTTATACATATGCAGAATCCTATGTCAAAATATGGCAACCAAATCACCTTTGTCTATCAATGATTCTGTGGCAACATCAGACCCAATAAAAGACCTTAACAGTCCCAATAATAACTAACACAAAGTCCTTAGCAAAGACTTGTTGAGGATGGCATCCCACATAACAGGAGTAAAACCCTCACAACATACAGCTTTTCATGCTACCTCTGCCCTGAACACTTGCCCCTGCTCTCAAAACTGTTCTTAAGTCAGTGATGTTATTTTTCATACTTTGTTTATTATTTTCCCTTAAACACATGCCACTCCCTTTGCCTGCCAGGATAATGTATCTGGGTTCTGCTTTTGTTCTTTTAATTCATCATACTTAATA